GTGGGGGGGAGGACCAGGGAGGATGATTCAACCACTAGATGTCGCTGAAAACAACAAATCCTACACACTGTGCCTTTAAAATAATAATAAAAAACAGATTTCTCTGAATATTCTGTTTGATTTTGTTGTTAAAACTGAAGACTTGAGGAAAATCTGTTCATTTCTTTTAATTCAGTTCATCTTAAAGAACTACGGAGAGAATCCGGACAACTACAACGAACAGCTGAAGAAACTGGAGACCCTGCGGCAGGTGGGTAGGGTCTAAAACTAAAAAAATAAAGATTTTTTGTCTTTGTGGATGTGTCTGTGTGGACATTTTCAAGTTGCTTTAGGAGCGTTTTAAAACTTTGTCAACCTTGAACTTGTTTTAACCTTCCCGCTGTCTTTGTGGGGTCCATATGGCCCCACTCATGTTTGGGGTGGAGGTGAGGTCCTCCTGACCCTCACCTGATTAAGCGGTGGTTGAAGGAGCAAACGAGGGTTGGAGTCATTAGGTGGTGTTTGTGGGTGGCCTGGCCGGTTCCCCAAGAAGCAGCCATGACTTTTACTTGCTAGTAGGGCTGCGCGGTATATGCAGCAGACGGTAGAAACGATATGAAGTTGGCCTACGGTATAAATTTACCCTCTACCGTCCTATCATCAGTTAAGTCATCGCACCTGTGTTAACATGGCTGCGAGTGCAGAGACAACTGAGCAGGAGGAGTTTAAAATATTCTGAAAATAAATGAAGAAATATAGTGTTTTAAAACACGTATAGAGAGAATAAATCCTCAAAATGTTCCCCTCCCATTGAAGAAAAGTTACATTGTGTCGCAGGATCATTTCCTCCCTCCCTCCCGCAGCACGTCACGCAGAGCGAAGCTTTAACAACCGTAGTTTTTTCACACCCAAGTTGTCTGAGAAAAAAACTTGTTTTTTATGTATTGTTACCCACAGAGGTGATTCAAAGATGTGGATGTTCGTTCAGTCATAAATCCATCTTGCTAATGTAGCAGTTCTGCTCTGATGAAGAAGATGAGAGAGCAGCATAGCAGCATCGAGTCAGTTCAACAGGCAGAAGGTCATGTACGGCAGGGCAATATTACATTTATTTGGCTTCACCACACTTACATTCCAGTTATCTGAAATAGTTTTATGACAGGACTATGTGCAGCTGAAGCCCCTGAAGGTCCTGTCACACTAACATTTTAGTCAACTTAGAATAATTTTAATGTCTAAATGACTAATTTTACTTGAAGTACTGGTGATAACTTCACTTAATTTTGATGTTGAAAATTTGAGACATGTTTTTGTTTGCTGTTGAAACCGTTTTGCAATATATATATATATAAAACATTATTTTGTACTTCTGTTATGTTCATTTGCACTACAGCAAAAATAGTGGATAGTGGCTTTGATTATGATTACAGTTTTCTGCAAAAATAAATGCTCTAAAAAATTACATTATCTTTGCTTTTTATGATCATTTTCTACCACGATATACCGTTACCATAAAGGGATTCAGTATTTACTGTGATATGAATTTGAGGTCATACCAACTAGCTCTACTTGCTAGGTTTGTTAGCGCACCACAAGGACAAATAACACAAGTACACATACTTGATCAGAGCTGGCTAACAACTTACTTTGCTCCAAATTTCCCCAAAATCAGATTTTAAATAAGCGGTAAACATCAGTAATGCTGATGCTCTTTAATGTTTCTATAACTTTTTTGCTTATTTCACTGCCAGTATTGAGTTATTTTTATTGTTCATTTTGCTACTCTGAAGCTACAAATGACACATAGAGTCCTGAAAATGTTAAGATCTACACCTTTACAAATTCTTGTGTACACTAAGCTGTCATCTTTTTTTATGTTTTTTTTATATTATTATTATTTTTTTTAATTGAAAGAGGTGGTTAAGCTGCTTCTCTGCTTTCCATGCATTTAGCACCTTGTTTGTTTTGCTTGCTCTGTTTAATGATGATTTTGGGTAGAGTTTGCATTTTCTCTCCAGGCACTCTGGCTTCCTCCCACAGACCAAAAACATGACTGTTAGGTTAACTGATAACTAAACTGTCCCTAGGTGTGAGAGAGAGAGAGAGTGAGTGGTTGTCTGTCTCATTTGTCTCAATGTGCGTTCCTGGGATGGACTTGCGACCTGTGAGTGTACCCCGCCCCTCGCATAGTGACTGCTGGATATGGGCACCAGTGACCCCCATGACCCTGAAAGGAAGAAGCTGGTATAGATAATGGATGGATGGATGCATATAGGGCTGCAACTAACGATTATTTTAATAATCGATTAATTGGTTGATAATTTTTTCGTTTAATCGGCCAAATCATTAAAATGCTTAATTACATGAATATGAGTAGATATAATTTAAGTTAACTCCTTAAGGATGCAAGTTATTGATAATGAATTAATCTGAAGTTGATTTATCTTATAGAT